CTGGGGAAAATACTCAGGCCAATGGTCCGGGCCTGTGATTAAAAATTTTTGTTTATAATTGAAAAATACATCTCGAGAAGTTGATGATGGAAAAAAATGACCATCATGAAAATGAAACGAAGATTTTACCCGTGGATCCCCCATAGCTCCATTTGAACTTTTCTACATTTCCGTTGAGTGTGTTCTGTTTGGTTTCCAGGGGTCTTTGATCAAGAGTGACAGGTACTTTGTTTCCGGTTCCTAAAAATAAATCCTGCAATTTGTAACATGTTGTTTTGAAAATGAAGTGTTGTTAAGGATATCCAATCCTCAGCCAGGAAGGATAACTCCAAAAATCAATATTTAATTTGAAATGCATCAAAATGAAGCTTGAAAATGAAATTTTTTCATGCGACAATTTTCATTTTATTCATCTTCATAAGATTCAATGTTTTTGGAAGTCTTAGAAAATGTCTTACAAAAGTTGACATTTGTACCCTATAAAAAGGAAAAAAATAATAAAGTTGTAGAGAAATAAGATTTTCTTGAATCCAGGCTTAGATACAAATGCTTATTAGCATGATATGAAATACGAAGGGATTTGTGATGTCTTGCAATGATATCAAAAGCCTTTTACACTATGCACTACAGAATATATGACGGAAATAGAAGACAAAAATTACCAAATAAGTATTCTCTGAATGCCCGGAGACCTATCGTTTTTAAACCTAAAATATAATTTGTTGATCAATTTGCAATTAGAAAATGCATTGCAGATATTCCAATTCGCCTTTTCTGCAAAAATATTGGAGATTTGGCAATTTTCCCTATATAATATGATTAACTTTAATCTTAAACTTTAAAGAAATACTGTGGACAAATTTACATCACTTTGTGGATTTAGAGGTACTTTTATGAGTATTTTTTATTACTTAACTGCTAATTTTTTAAACCTGAGGATCGGACTACCTTAAAAATATGCTTGTTTGAGTCGGGGTGGTGAGGGTTTCTATAATTATGTACTTTGAATAATATCTTGCTATTTGTCTTTTAAAATATCATTTGTTTAGTGATGCAAGGTACTGAGTTTTGCTAATGGTTAATCCGTTGATAAATAGTTTTTTTTTAACTGGCACTTTGGAAAGTGCAAAAAAGACTGTGGTTTGTAGCAATACGATCAGGAAATGAGATAAAGTGTTTCAAAACATGAATTCATTCATTGAATTATTACAATTAATAAATATACATTTAATTATAGGAAGATTATGAAATTTTGAGGGTCGGTGTGACAGCAAATATGGTCATCTTTGACCCTTGGCACTAAACCTGACAAATTATATAGAATATTCTATAAAAGCGTAATCCTTTATGACAGTTAACAGAATTTTAATTATGGGTGCAAAAATAAATACATAATCGGCAATAAAATTATCTTTTTGTGATTTACGTATTCCTGCATTCTTTGCACTTGACTTACATTTTAAATACCTTTGTGCAAAGTCACTATTTGGAATTAATTTGAAAACTCGTTTGCTACTAGAAAATTACACAAATTAGACATATTACGAAACTACCGTTTTTGGAGGATGTACATATTGCTCTACTGATGATCATTTTCTTTTTCAATGTTGAAAATAAATATAAAATTCTTCATAGTTTAAAGAAAATACTTCATTAATCTAAAGGGTTTGTTTAATATTAATTTTAAAAATGTAGAAATGTTTCCTGACATATTTGCTGCAAGTTTAGAGATTGTTTTTAATTAAAGCTATACATAGAATAAAAATCATCTTGATTTTTTTTCGAGATATATGTTGAATTAAAATGAAAAACATGTAAATTTTGTTTTTAGCGATTTTCACTTCCTTTCAGAAAGGCTAAGCTTAAAAAAAAGATATGATATGATATGATGACAATTTTCTTTTTTTCCCTTTCTGATGAAGACGAAAATGAAGATGTGTCAGTAATTGGGATATTGTTGCCATTTAGAGTTTCTACATGAATTGGGAAGAGTTCTTGTCCTCTAGACGACACATGGACCCCCTTCCTTTCTTCTTCTAAATCAGACGTGTTTCCACAAAATCTTGAATGTACATTTAATATTTTGATTCGAAAAAAATTTGTAACTGCCTTTTGGGATTTTATTGTATTATTGAATATATTTCTAATATTTTTTGTGTCAAATTTCCCCTGTATTATATAGTGTCGGATGTATTTAAGACTTTGCAAGATATTAAGTAATGGGTAAAACACATTCTAATTAAATCCGACTTCTTAGATCCGCGCCGTATTTACTCTGAACTTTATTTTTGCGTAATTACACGAGCCTGTCTGCTTGCGAAAATTTTATTATCGCGTTTATTTGTATTATTAATGTTTATATACAACAGAAACCATAGCTCGCGAAAATTTTGTCTCGCTAAATACCAAATAGCTACGTCGCGAAAATAAAGTGTGCCGAAGTATTTTGAACTACAGTATCTTAGTGAATAGTATTTTTACGAGACACTAAAACTTTTATGAAACATGGGGTAAAGCAAAGTATATTTTAATAATAATTAATAAAAAAGATAATTGAAATAAATTATAATGACTTACCATACTGTTCGGCAAGCTTTGAATCATATTGACAGAGCATGCGCAACATGTAGGAGAGAAGAATGCACAAGTCACAATTCATCGTGAGTGGATCAGCTCTACTCCTGTATAGAAATGAAAAAAAAATGTTTCACGAATAATTGGAGTATGGAGTATTACCCCCGTCCGGTTTGAGTTCTGTCCCTTTTTCAAATGCTTTGCCGCCTCTCGACCACATTCTCATATATCCTACACGGTGGCTAATTTACATAGACCCGAGGGCAATATGTGCATAAAAATCATGGACGTCTTAGTGAATTTTGACGTGAGATGCAGGCAATAACTTTCAATTTAAATATGTCTGACAAGAGTCTCTTAAAATGTGACAAAAGGACAAAAAAATTAAACAGAGAAACAATTAAGTGACGCTAATTTACACGACTGAAACGATAATGAAATGAAATTAAATATAGCAGGCGATTATGCTCATGTTTTAATCATAATTTTTATTGATAGATATACTAGTTTGTAGTTATTAATGTAACATCTTAATTATCCAAGCAATGACGCTTATCAGATTAGAAAAGACATGGAATTAATTTGTTTTACAATAGAACTACAAACCAAGATGTACATTTTCCAGATTTTACATGAGTGGGAGTAAATGCAAAATTTAGAACATGACAATTTTGTATTTAAACCCACCCGATAAATTCACAATTTAGAATATAACACAACTAACTTTAGAAAACATAAACCATGAATTTTCTAATAAGTTTATTATGAAAGTTACTACTCGCTTTTCCGTATCATCTCTTTTTAATTGAATTTATGTACCCGTAATCGAAGATTCAGGGGTATATAATTTTGACCTGTCCATATCCGTCTGTCTGTTGTCTGTTTGTCGGCCACAACTTTAACTTCGCCCATAACATTTGACTGGATGGGGCTATGGCTTTCATATTTCACAGGTGTGTTCCTTGTGAGAAGACCTTTTTTTAGATGTCACCAAATTTGACCTTTTGACCTTGGAGTTTGACACGTTTTACATAAATATCACAAAATTTAACCTTGGTCATAACTTTTGAGGGCCAGGGCATTCACACTTCACATATGTAATCCTTGCGACAAAACCTTTCATTGATACCAACAACTTTGACCCTTTTACCTCGACCTTTGAGTTTGACCTTATTTTTTAAAAATGTTTAACCTTTGTTATAACATTTGAACGGTTAGGGCTAGGGCTTTCATACTTAACATTTGTAATCCTTGCGACGACTTTTCATTGGATACCAACAGCTTTGACCCTTTGACGTTGATCCTGGAGTAAGACCTACTTTTTAAAAACTTTCACATTGGCCATAACTTTTGAACAATGAGGGCTAGGGTTTTCGTACTTTAAATATGTCATCCTTGTGACAAAACCTTTCTTTTAGAAACCAACAACTTTGACCATTTGACGTTGAGCCAGAAACTTTAACCTTGGTAATAACTTTTGAATAGAAGATGCTAGGGCTTTCATATTTCACAATTCTTTTTGTGTGGGGAGAAAGCCTTGCCGGTACTTTGGGTACCAACATATTTGATTTGAGAAAAGTTAACCTTCGCCGCTATGTTGCCATAGGGGGCATCGGAATTATCTGAATATCAGTTTTAATATTTATCATTAATGCACAACAAAATATCTACTTCTTTTAAGTATGAAGAATAAAAGTTTTGTGAAAGTGCAAGGATACTGTATGTCAATTAAAAATTCGTAGCTTCAATAATTTCTAGATAAAAGAAGATTGTTAGTATATTTCCGTGAGAAAATTTATAGCAACAGTATATTTATGTTTTGGATTGCAAATATATTCATTAAAAACATAAATTAAACATTTATAAAATAAATTGAGTCATGCAGAAATACCAAAATTGATTTCTATATCGGAAAATATGCAATTGTGTATCTTGTCACTTAATATGTATCTTTATTTGATCTTAATGTCATATTAAATTTTCAAATGGAAAATCAATCATTTGTAATTAATGATTCAATTGTTTATATAAAAATAGGAGGAAAACGTTCAAATAATATGCCCATGTTCAATATTAAAAACAAGTAATGCACCAAAATACCGGGGTATCTTCATTTAAAAGTGAAATTGTTTATTTAGACAGATGAGTCAAACATACGTACATGTATCTTCATTGAATATTAATGCAGCTCAAGAATATGGTTATTTTTTTTTTAATTCAAGCTATTAAACTCTTTGTTAAACAATTAAAAAAAAAATAGTGTCCAAATAAAGATTTTGGTCAGAGGGAATATACAAGTGAAATGTGAAAGTTTAGACACAAAACACACAGAAGAAATGATAAATTTACAATTTTTCAAAAGAATGTCAGTTTCCAATGTCAAGAGGTCAAAAGGGTAATAAAGGAAATTTATCTTTGTAAATTTTCGCAAAAGTTATTGAAGCTCCAAGCTCAAGGTTAATAGATCAAATATGTTGGTACAAAAAATAAGATCTTGTCACATATTATATATGAAGGAACTTGCACCAATTACTAGTATTCCAAAGTTATGGACAAGGTTAAATTTTTGTGGACAAGCAGATTAACAAATATAGATACGGGCAGACCAAAAACTATGCTACCAAATCTTCGATAACGGGGCATAAAAAACACGTCTTCCGTTCACTAACCCGCTTGTACCTGTCTCTATTGGGTATTTATACAGAACAATGACGACAGGACAAGCAACAAACCATGATCCGTATGTCTGTCTGATTCTGAGCGATGACCATTCACCACAAAGTTTGTATCAATATAAAAATCCCTAAAGAATGACCAAAATACTCTGGAAGGCGTTATTATAGGTATACTTAATTATTAATTCTGATTTTGTGATTCGGAAATAGATATATTGTTGCCCTAAGTGTCTGTCTGTTTGCCTGTCTGATAATTTTGTCCGCAAAAATTTAAATCCTTACCCATAACTTTTGATTGGTATCCTCAATGTTTTGTTGAGAATGGACATTTAATGTTTTGTTGAGAATGGACATTTAATGCAGGGTATAGAAAATAACTCATGTTAATAAAAAGCATATATTTACACTCAACCATTGTCAAGAATCACAGGCTGGGGTTTGTGTGTGATGTGAGCAGTGTAGCATGTCTGTCTGTCTGTCTGTCTCACAAGTATGTGTATGCATAAGTATGCGCATGTTATAGATCTAAATACATGTATAATAACATGTGTGATCGGTCCATGAACATATGCTCATCTAACCCCATTCTGGTTTATGGAGGAATCTGAATTTACGAATACTAGATTCCCAGAGAACGTTAATTGAGTGTCCTATTTGTGCCTGATTTGTCAAGTGGTGAATCCCAAAGTCAGGTGGAAATAGACGATTTGGTGACATTTGGCACATAAATCCCCAAAATAACACGTGAACGCCCTGTATCAGCATAATGCTTTCTACATGCTCTTCACATGCATGGTGACAGCAAAATTCAACGTAAATCTATTACATTTTACAAGCGAAGAATTGTGACGTAAAAAGAAATAATTTTGACGTAAAAAGAAACAAAGATTTTGAAGTAAAATGAAACAAGAATTTTGACGTAAAAAAGGAACACGAATTTTGACGTAAAAGGATTTTTTTCTTTCTTGCAGCGAAATATGTTGCAGTTGTGAACTTTGATTTGCACAGGAATTTGCACGAGTAAAAAGTTTAACGAAAGGACTGGACCACTATTCAGCAAAATGGCGAGAGTCAGGATTTCTGGCATGCTGTCCGCTTAAAAAACTAACTTCCGAATTGTAATTGAATGGTAACTATTTCAGACCGTTATTCAAATATTTATATGTCTTACTAAATTAATGTTAATCGAATTCCAACAAAATGACTGTGTTTAAGCTAATCAATAAGCATTCTGTTTTAAAATCTGATACGCACAAGTTCATTTTTTACATTGAAATTCCAACTATATTAACAATACCGGAACGTGAATGTCTATTATCTTTTTGAATGACACAGTTGGTGAATTCTGTGCATACATTGTGTAAAATGCATTTTTCAGGAAGTAATAAATAATTGATTTAAGGGAATCCCCATTTTGAGCGTTACCAGTTGATCTGCAAGCTATTTGTTTCAAATATGTAAAAATTTGTAAATTTTTTCGCATGTTTTTAATATTTCATATTTTGAAGAAGTAGAGGAGTTCCATCACAATGCATAAAGGAGGGGGGAAAATAGTGTTTTTTGGTCTAATTTTCTCAAACAACAGAGTCCCTAAACACACAAAACTTTTTTCCATGTTTTACTTATTCTAAGAAAATAAATTCTTAAAATCGGAACACAATATACTTTAAAGCATTTATCATAAAACGGAAAAAAATGCTATGTATTAAAGACCAAAACTGTACTGAATACTATATACCATTAATCATATTCAAAAACAAAGGTTTTTTCGGCACGCTATACGATGTCCAGAATAAGCATTGTGGACTAAAAATGTTTTTTTTTTTTTTAATCTCTCTGATTGCAGAAATTAACTTGAGACAATAAGGATATCTCTTTGCTTGTTATTTCAAAACAAAAAGACTAAGTTAACATAATACAATAAAAAAATACATTAAGGACAAATGTATAGTTCTTGAAAATTAAATTTCTTATTTCCTGTAATTTAAGAGTTCCAGTTTTTGAATCAAATTGACATGGAACACCAGCTTAAACTATGTTTTGGTGAATTTTTTTTTTCATTAAAAATACAAGTTTTTTTTTATCGTTTTATGTTTGTCCAAAACTCATAACATAAGCTGATTTTCTTTTTGTCTAAGAATACCCTTTAGTAAACTATAATTTTTAAATTAAAAATTTCTTGAAATAGTGTCAGTGGGAAAGGTACATTGTAAAAAAACATCGATGAACATTTATATTAATAACTATGTAACATCTATTGTGTCACATAGTGAATAGCATGTACAAAGATTATTCAATTGAATTTTGAAATGTGTACTCAAAATTCTAGTGCATTTTGACGATAAAATAATGACAAAATTTTAACTTTAATACTTCTAGTATATTAAGCGTATATTATCCATTATTCTGATAACATGTAGATGTACTGGTATCTTTCATATTTCAGTTAAAGGAGAGAATATTTTTTGTTAGAAATCTTCAATATTTTAAATATTTATCGGGATGAAAATAATTTCTTTTAGAAGCTGATAAATCCCTGATTTCTTTTAAAAGCCTATATTAGTAGTATAATTTTATAATTTTAAACCACAATGCGCAGCATTAACAAAGGAAAGGAAAAAAAAATGGAGACGGTCGTAACAAAGAATACAATTCATTTTACCAAAGAAAAATATATTTGAAAAAGAAAAATATATATACATACTTTTGATCTTTAGAAGAGAACACATTTCACACAAGCAAATCCTTCCTGGAAACAAATCAGTGGCTAAGCCAGACCATTTTATCGGAAAAGGCGATGACGACTGCATATCAATGAGAGAGAGGTATAGAGAGCTGTCAATACATGTATAGGGCATTCGCTGGTCGCGCTTTTTATCCCACATAACACCGTGTCGCATGGGGAGACAAGAGAAACCGGGCCTAACTTGCAGAATAACGGCTCATCAGTTGATGACTGAAGTCTATGCAGAGGCGAAACATTTTTTTTGCTCGTGTTGGTTAGCATGACGTAAAATCATGCATGGTAAATTTTTGTAATATACATGTACAATGACCATCTAACGGTCATTGTGGTTGGGTCCAAGAACTTGGTGAAAAGGACAGTTGCACCAAAAGTTGTTAACAAAAGAAATGAAACTTGAAGATAACGAACTGTTTTCATGCATATCGGAAGAGGAGCGAACACGGGCCTTTAAAAACATCATAGGCGGGATCAGGTGCCATTGAGGAGTAAGCATCCCAATGTCGACCGGTCACATACGCCATGTGTTCCTTATAAGGATTTATAAAACAGAAAAATTCAGTTTAGTATGAAATCATTTACATGTAGTATGAAAAACGCCAGTCAGTATTTGACTTAATGATTATAAAGTATATGCTACAATGCCATTGCATTGATCGACCATAGAACCTGCAAAATAATGATTTTAAACAAGACTGTTGTTATAATTGTTTCATCAATTTGTTTGTCTATAGCTTGCTTCTTTTTAAAAATTGTTCTTACGTAGAGTATGGTATTTTTTATTGCGCATTGAATCAACTGAGAGACATAGACCCTATATGCAGGTGATACGAGTATAATGTTTCTTAAGTAAGGGAAGTTGACAATAGAAAAGTGATTTACACCACTTCTCAAAAACATGTATTTTTTGTACAGTAATCCTGAAGTTTCTATTTTACTGCTTTTAGAATTTTATTGAGGAGCCAAAATGAGAGACTTGGTAGAACAGATACTTGAACCCGCTATGCATCTTTAAATAAGATTTTTATGAAGTTCAGGAATCCAGCATAGATAGGCATGGTTTTAAATATTCATTTTTATTGTTGGGGATATTTAAAATATTTAAACCCGACAAATGTTTTTTTTTTTTTTTTTGAATTTCCCCTTTAGAAAGGGAACCATGGATATAAATTGGATCACCACTAACAAAATTATATCCAAGTTTCTCTAAAATATGTAAAATACAATTGAATATTGAGCCTTACAAACAAAGACAAATATTGTGTTACCTGCTTTGTCAGCTGGGATCGGTGCATAAAAGTCAAACATTTCCGATTGAATCATCATTGAGCTGGTCAAAAGTTGATGTCTTGTGGATAAAAAATCTCATAGTTCACTGGGCCAGGTAATAAATAATAATGCTCTATTTCAGGATTTTTTTTCCGGAAGAGGAGTTCCAAATGAACTCGGTCAAACTATATAACGTGGGAGTCTTTTTTGACAAGTAAAGAAAATAAACAGTCACGATCAATTTACCCAAACTTGAAAAAAAAGTATTTTGCAGGCAAGGAGGGACAAGGATAAAATAGGCTTTGCCTGCTGCCTGATTCCAATCACTTGCATTTGTGAATAAAATTCTGTATAAATAAAATACTTTCCCCTTTCTAAATATTCATAAAAATCTGTTTTAGGTGTATGTTAAAGGGAAGAGTTGCGTATAAAATTTAAATTTAATATCTGGCTTGAGAATGGATATTCTTAAAAGGTTAGAGACAGGCAACAGGCACCTCACATGAAAGACACCCATGTTATCCTGCAGTCAGTTGATTTTGACGCATCAGTTTGATACAAACTGAAGCTTGAAAAAGCTGCCATCAGATTGGTATAAAAATCTCCCTTTCTCATAGATGTTTCAAACGTCTCAGTAACAGAGATGTTTAACCTAAGGGTATAAAAAATGCAAAAAATCATACAAACATTTATTAAGTAATCTAATACATAAACAGTCTTGTGAGTTTTCTTCTTTATCCAAAACCATGCCACCAGTTAAACATTAATGAAGGATTTTTCATTCTGAAAAATAAAAGAAATGATTCTTTTTTAAATGATTACAATTAGAAAGCTTCGTATTTAACAGTCAAGAAGGGAATTCCAATTTCATCAGGTCAGTATTTGAGGACTATTTGCTTGAGGACCATCTAACTATGATGAACTTCTAGAAAATTTATATGCATTTTTATAATGAAAATCTAGATCATATACATGTTTTGTATATTTTCCATTGATTTACTGATGTTTATAATGAACTGTATTCTGATTTCTCCAATGTAGCTTAATTGTGGAAATTCCCTGATCTAAATGTTATCATTCACCTATAGAACTTATTGTGCTTGAGTTTGGACTGTAAAACTTGTCATGAAATATAATGAGATAACAAAGAGTATTCAAGCTCAAAAGTCCAGTAAACTATACAAATCTGACGCTGAGCAAACACTGACTCTAAAAACATCAGAGGTGGGATCAAGTGCCATGAAGGAGTGAGCATCCCCACTGTTTTCCCTAAGAACTGGCAACCGGCCAAATTGACCGCTTCAATTGACAGCCAGAAGTCTCTGTTGAAACTGTAGCTCTACTGGTTTATACTTAAAACAAAGGAAGAGAAAAGTAGCTGTTTGGACTTGAGACTTTAAATCAGCAATAAACAGAAAAATGATCCTTGCCACTCATCAAAATAAAAAACCATGCACAGAATTATGTATCTTAGTATAATCTACTTGTGTGCCAAGTTATATTTATTAAAATTGGACCAAACCTGTAGGAGGAGTAGCATTTTGAAACAATTTAAAAGAAATTTTTATTTTTAGTAACCATGGCAACACCGTTCATCCAAATCAAAAACCAATGCAGAGAATTATGTATCTTAGTGTAGTCTACTTGTATGCCAAGTTATATTGAAATTGGACCAAAACTGTAGGAGGAGTAGCATTTTGAAGAATTTCACAGAAATTTCTATTTTTAGTAACCATGGCAACATCATTCATTGAAATCAAAAACCGATGCACAGAATTATGTATCTTAGTGTAGTCTACTTCTGTGCCAAGTAATACTGAAATCGGACCAAAACTGTAGGAGGAGTAACATTTT